AAAAAAAAAAAAAAAAAAAAAAGAGGGAGAGAAAAAAACTAATACATTGTGAGTCATAAGTCTGGTGTACTTCAGTGTGTCTTCAGGATCTAGTCTCTTACATTACTCATAGGCTACAGGCAAAAAAAGTGGCATGGCATTCTATCACCTCAGAGATAAACAAGGAACAGATTCACTTCCAACGTCACTCACATGGCTATTGATAGGACACAATTCTTCACAAGATATTGATATGCAACCTGCAGTTTGACCCTTAGCCTCTCAAGTCCTTTGTCATCTAGGCTCCTCCCAGATGATCAGCTCATAGCAGGGTGACTGGCCAACCCTCAGAGCAAGAAAGTCAGTGGACTAGAAAGCACATGTTTGGATATGTCTGCTGGGACACAGATGCTTGGAGTCCATGCCGGGTCCCATGCTCAGCTGCCATGAACTTTGCTCTGCCACACCTCTGACATGATACTTCTGCCTCGAAGCCAGTTGGAGCCACTGAATCCCCTGGAACTGTGAGCCATTTCCTTCTTGAAGGTGTGGGTTTTGGATGTTTGGTCATAGCAGAGGAAAGCTACAAGATATGTTTTCTATGCTGAGTTTCAAGCTTGCTTTGGTCCACTTCCTCCTTTCTATGTCATTAGTCCTAAATTTGGAATAAGAATGTTTACTCTGTGCCATTCTCCCCACTTTATGTTGAAGGTGTGTAGCTTGAGTTTAATTTTTACTGAGGCTCAAAGCTAAGAAAGTATCAGGAGAGACATTGGATTCGAACTTTTGACAAGTGCTGAAACTGTTGAGATTTGAGTACTCTTGGAGACAAGGGACTCTTTGGTTCTTATATGAAGTACTCCCAAAAGGCTCATCTGTTTGTGACTTGGTTCCTAATGCTGTAAAATCTAGTGGGGCTTTAGGAAATAATTGAGTCATGAAAGCTTTTCGCTCATCAATGTTTACAGACAATGATAAGTCCATATTACCATGACATTATTGGCGAAAACTATAGGAGCTAGGGCCTACATGGAGGAAGTGTGCCCTTGAGGACATGTCCTTGGGACTATGTCTTACCTGTAGTCCCTTCTCAGTCACCATAAGGTGGTCAGCTGTGCTCTACCACGTGCCCCTCACGATGATGTGCAGCAGCCCCAGGAAAAAATGTAACCGGCCAACAATAGGCTGAAACCCCTTCTCCACTTCAAAGTTGTATTTCTCAGGTATCTTCTCACAGTGATAGAAGGCTGACAAAACCTGACTCATTACTCAAATGTAAGGCTGGTTAAATATTCAAAAGTTAATCAATATAGTACAACATATTAACAGGGTAAAGAAGAAAGATGTCATAATCAATGAAAAAAACACACGGCAAAATTCAATGCCTATTCAGGAGAAAAGTTCCAATCAAACAGAGAAAAGAGAGCACCTTCTTAAACTAATAAAGCACATTTACAAAAATTTTATAACTCACTTTAAAATCAAATAACAATTTGTATCTAAGATTGGGAATAGGCAAAGTTATACTCTCTTCTCAGTTTTATTCAGCTTAGTAGTGGAAGGACTAGCCAATGCAACAAGATATAAATAAATAAGTAAACAAATGCCACACCTATTGGAAATAAAATGATGCCTTTTTGCGGATAATACAATTGTCTATGTGGAAAGTCCCACGGAATCTACAAAAACACACTCCTACAGCTAATGAGGTCAGCAAGATTTCAGAAATGAAGATAAACACTAGAAACGCAGCTATATTTCAATGACTAAATGAGTGAAAATGTGGACAGCAAAATGAAATATAACACTATCTACAGTAATTCAAAAAATGGAATATTTAGGTTCAACTCTAATGAAATATTTAGAGGACTTGTTTGCTGAAAACTGCATATCACTCAAGAAAGAAATAAAATACATAAATTAATGGAGAGAAATACCATTTTTGTGGATTGAAAGACACAACAGTAATGTCAGTTGTCTATATAATTATATAGTTTTAATGCAGTTACCATCAAAGCCAAAGCACTTTTCTTGAAGTTATACACAAGTTATTTTCTAGAATTTTTTTGGAAATTCATTTGGAAATTTAGGAGAGCTAAAACAATGTGTACAGACAATCTCTATTCTTTACAACTGCCTACAAGTCTACACATTATCTCAGAATAAAAGGTTTAATTTTTAAATTGTGAAATATTGATAAAAAACAAAATTTAATATGTAATATTTATCTACTATGAATTACTAAGACTTGTGCCACACTACAAACTTAGAGAAACCCCTAGGCCTGCAGATGGAAAATCCTGCTGAGCAGGGATTGTGTTTGCATTGCTCTCTCTAGAAGTCAAGGACTTAGGAAGATTAGATATTATTAAAAGAATAGGGTAATTACACAAAATGACATGAATGTGGCCACTAACTTAATGGTACCTCAGAGAGATTGTAACTGAGATTCAGTATGTACAGAGAGTCACTTGTCATAGCCATAGTAGATTTCAATATTTTCTTCTTTTATGAAATATTAAAAAATTATATCTTACAGAAGAATGGAATCATGCTTGGCAACCACTGACTAACTTCTCATCTTTCTAAGCCATTAGAAATTTCCAGCTGCTATTAACAAATTATGAGTCATCCCAGAATGAATTTAGAAAGATGTGGACATTGAGGCCCAGATAATTACATAAACACATTTTTTGGATATTGAGTGGAACATCCATAAGGAAAATGGTTGCTACTTAACATATTTATTCTAAAATAGAAAATAAAGAAATAGGCTTCAGGGGAAATTTAGAAGAGACATATACTAGTCAGCTTATCCTCTCTCCATTGTGAAAGCATGTAGTATGTACTTGAAGCCAAGTTCAGGGTTTAGTCTCATGCTAATTCTACAATACTATATTGTCTCTAGAGGCATGAAAGGCTCGTATGCCACTTCTGTGTCAACTTTATTTCAGTTTCTATTGCCTCATATTCATGGAAAATTTATTGAAAAAAATAGACTGACGAAATATATGTGGAATCATCTACAGTCTCTGACATAGAGGAAACAATGTAAAACTGAGAACCAGACTTGAAACCAAGTCTCATCACAGTTGAATAAAGTCCACTTTCCTCAGTCTCATTTGCTTTGAATAAGGTTTATAGGGGTTTTTTTATATTTAGAGCTGTTGTTTTAAGATCATATGAGTTAAAACAAGTGGAACTTGAAGAGTTTAAAACATCATACTGAAATCGTAGTTATAATTGAGTAATAAATGTTACAATGCAGAGAAGTTAGAGTCCTGAAATTGGTACCCTTCCTAAACATGCCCATTCTAGTTCATGCCTGAGTTTCTACCTTTCTGTGGTTGCCATCTCAAACCTCTTAGTCATAAATCCCAATAAAGCCTTTAAAAAGCAATTTGGCAGAAAAATGTTTTCACTAACTATCTTCCGCAATGATATATAAAGGATTTAATTCCTCCCATTCAAGCTTCTCTCATCATTCAAGGATATTGAATACCCAAATTGCCGCTTCGGGTTAGGGTCCCAAGCAGAACAGAGCTGGCTTCCACTGGGTGACCAATTTAACTCCTGGGCGCATTAAAATGTATTTTAGGAATGGCACTGAAGTACAAAATAAAGAAAAGAATGAATAAGAAAAAAATAAGAATGCGAGTCCTTGTTTTTACTCCTTTTTCAAAAATAATTTAAATATAATTTTAAGAAAATATTTAGTGGATGAGATAGTGCCTACCTCACATACCTTTATCAACTCTCTTACCCACAGCAGGTATGACCCACATACTTGTGATTAATCCACCAGAAGAAATAGCAAGGGCTTGATATAAAGCCTTACAGAAACTGAATATGAGAAGGTATAAAAAAGAAATAGTTTTGGCTTATTACAAGGTGGAGTCAGAGCTATTCAAAGTACCTAGTAACCAATTAAAGAAATGGAATATGGAAAAATTAGGGCAATTTCCTAGTTTCTTCTATTTCTCCTTTGCCTTGAGCACTGTGATGGAGATGTCTAAGAGTTTTTACACGTATGTCTTAGTAAAATCAACAACATAGTGGGATGGAAATGGGTAAATGGCTGCTAACGTTTTTCAGTGAAATTATGAAGACTGAAGACTGGAAAGATGTAAGGTGCCAGTTAGGAGCTCACAAAGTGTCTGTAAATGGTAAAACCTTGGAACGATACTTTCCCCCAGTGGGGCAGCATCATCTATAAACTCAATGCTACCTCCTCTCACTGGTCCTTCATCCACACAGAAAAGGATTCTGTCACCTGTTCCATGTGGCAGCCTTTCAAGTGTTTGAGGAAAGCTATCACATTCCTCTGTTTTTCTTCTCACATCTGTATAAGAATATAAAAAATGCAGTATAATTTTGGCTACATAAAACTAGTGTCATAAGGAAGAATAAAAAAGCTACAAGAAATTAGAATGAAGAGTATATGGATTTCTTTCCTTTTTCTGTTCTCCAAATGTTTTCCAGGTTTGTGCCATTGCTTTGGTAATGGGGAAGTGGAGGAAATTAAACTATAAAATGTATTTTTTATATTATCTTATATCATCTCCTGGAAGAAATCTAGATATAGAGAAAAGAAGCAAATAACATTGCCGAATTTTGGCATCAGAAGAGATCATATAATAGTCTCCTTTCCACTTAAAAGGTAAAACTTATACCAGGAGGGGTAAAGAATACAGGTAATGAGTAGTCACTTATGTGACTGGGCAAACCATGTACTCAAAATTAAGTCTTCTGTACCCCAACCCAGGGCTCACTTTATTACACTGTCATCTAGATCAGTTTACACTAAGAGTATTGCAGTTGCATTAATTTGTTAGTCTTCGCAGCTTTTGGTTCCTTAAAATTCTATCTGGTATCTTTCTTTGATAACAACAAATTCTATTGTCAAAACTTTGTTCTTAATGTTTGTCCTATATCTTGTTATGGCTTATATCTACCTAAAGCCTCATTTGATCATAGGCAGAAACTTTGGAAGGTGATTAGACTATGGGGTCCTATAACTAACTGGCTATTAGGAGGTGGGGACTACTCAGAAGAGGCGGCTCCCCAGGGGTGTGGCCTGGGAGATTTTATAACCTCCTCCCTGCCTCAACTCTCTGCCTCCTAGAAACCATGCCATAGGCAGCTCTCCTCAGCTCTATTATGCCAAGCATCTCTGCCATACCATCCTGCCATGGAGCCAGCAGACTGTGAGCTGAAACATGATTGTTGGATATTGTGTCTAAGACATATCTCTCATTTGCCTTGCCCATAACTTTGAAGATATTGAGGGGTAGTCTCACCTGTATCCCCTCTAGAAGAATTCTTCCCAAAAATGTAAAAATGGGGTTGCAAGTTTGCTAACTGGAGGATAATATTGGTGATTGCACAAAGATGTGTTTCTAATGTTTCTATGTTTTTAGTTACAGAGATCCCATTTAAGACATTAAGAATGTCAAGTAATAACCATAACATTACATGTAACCATATTTTTTAAAGAATTAATTAACCCATCACAGATTTTAAATTGTGCACCCTTATGCTGATGT